CTTATTTATTTGAGAGAGAAGGAGAGATAGAGAGCACGAGAGGGAAGAGGGTCAGAGGGAGAAGCAGACTCCCCGCTGAGCAGGGAGCCCGACGCGGGACCCGATCCCGGGACTCCAGGATCATGACCCGAGCCGAAGGCAGTCGCTCAACCAGCTGAGCCACCCAGGCACCCCCTCATTGTTAATTTTTTAAGTAACACTTTTATTGAGATAGAGGTCATACACCATACAATTCACACATTTAGAATGGACAGTTCAGTGGTTTTAGTATATTCACAGAGTTGTGCAACCATCACTACATCAGTTTCAGAACATTTTCATCACCCTCTCCCCAAAGAAACCGCTACCGATTAGCACTCACTCCTCATGTCCCCCCCCGCCCCCATACTACGCCATCACCAATCTTTCTGTTTCTGGATTTGTCCATTTTGCACATTTCCTGTACATGTAATCATGCAGTATGTGGTCCTATATGACTGATTCTTTGGCTTGGCATAATGTTTTCCACATTGTCAGTTGTAGGAGTGATTCCTGCCACTATATAAAACAAGAAGCAAATTTGAGGGTTCTTGGCATCACTAGTCATTTGGAAATTTAACAGTGAAAAATTTTAAATTTATTACCAAACATTGATAGTCTTTTTCCTTTAAGTAGTTTGTAGCCTCAACTCTTTGATAACTGTAGTAGGAGTTGTGCTTCTGTTACATTGCCTCTTGACTAATACCTGAACATTATGGGGACACAGTTGTTCGTGATGATATGGTCCTTCAGTTATGCTAGAGAATATAGTAATTGAGTAGTGCTCCATGAACCCGAGACTTATTTTGGGTTGCTTTTGTAAACATTGGTGAAATATAACACACATAGACAATGGCACATAACGTGTGTATGAAATAATAAAAAGAAGGCAAAATCATCATGTAGGTTAAGAAATAGAACACCTTCAAGTCCTTCCGTGTGTTCCCACCTTTCCCTGGAAACCACTGTTCTTCCATATGGTTGTTTTTTTTTAAAGATTTTATTTTTATTTATTTGACAGAGAGAGAGACAGCCAGAGAGGGAACACAAGCAGGGGGAGCAAGAGAGGGAAAAGCAGGCTTCCCGTGGAGCAGGGAGCCAGATGTGGGACTTGATCCCAGGACCCTGGGATCATGACCTGAGCTGAAGGCAGACGCTTAACGACTGAGCCACCCAGGCGCCCC